TCTAACGGGATTTTGTTTTTTCCCCCCCCCCCCCAAGCCCTCTCTCTCCGTGTGTGTGCTGCGCACATCAGATCTTCTCCTGCGGCCTTGTTCTCCCCTTGATGTTCCTTGCAAAGTCCACCGCCATGCAAACATGATGGCTCAAGGCCACCAAATCGCCGCTCGTGTCAAACACTATAACCTCCATGTCGGATCTCCCGTTGCTGATGGCCTTGCTGGACGCCCTCATGCGCAACCACTCCTCGCCCTCGGCAGGCAACTTCTTCTTCACCTCGATGGCCATGGTGACGGTCGGGTACCAGTACGCCTGGTCAATGGCAATCTGCCCTTCCTTCAGGGCCTGGCTCCCATCCCGCTGCCGGTACGCCTCGGGGATGAGCGCGGCCGCGGCGTCTGCCACGTACCCCAGGGAGATGTTGGTAAAGGGCTCCCCGTTTGCGAAGCGCAGCCAGTAGTCGTGCGTGGAAGGGGTGGCATGGCCGGCTCTCTGGAAGTAGTACTCGAGTGTTCTGATGCTAGACACGCGCCCCATGAGCGAGATGTGTAGACGCTTCCATCTGGGATCGCTGCCCTCTCGCATGCGCGCCAGGTCCGCGGGGGCGGTCTCATACGGTATGGTCCAGCCCGTGTTCAGAGTGAGCCCTTGCTCCTTGCCGAGGTCCGTGTTGGTGACGTACGCAGCCACCTCGCCCTTGGCTCTGGATGCCGGGTCCAGCCAGGGACGGGATTCCAGCAAGCCCCGTTGGTGCAGGGAGATGTGTAGCACGGAGCTGTTGCGGCCCATTTTGGCCTCGTCCACCACCAGGTACGCCAGGCCGGCCGCCGTGCGGTTGAGGTACTGGATGTGGATTTTGAGCGTGTCCGGCTGGCCCCGGGGGGCGAGATACTCTTGGGCGGCTCTGAGAATGACGGAGCCGACGTAGCCGCCGTTGGGGACTGGGACGCAACCGCGTTAGTCTGGCTTAACGAGAGGAGGGCCTGTGACGGAAACCCACCGGAGCCGACGCACAGCTCCTCTGACAAGTCGGCCGAGAAGATCTGGTCAGAGAGTCTGGCAACTTGGGTGAGGTGGTCGAGCGACGGCGGGGTGAAACCATCCTCATCCTTGGCCTGGTTCGGACCCCACGCTGGGTTTTTGGACATGACGCAGTTTTCGCAACAATGTCTAGATCTAGAGTTGAAGAGTTGAAGTTGGACTTTTGGGGGGATGTGTCCGTCGCAGTGTTTAAAAGGGCCGACCGAGAGGGAAACGCATCAGAGGTTCAGATCAGGCTTGGCAGGCGCTCTTTCACAAGCCGAGGGGTCCCCCCTGTCTTCTCCGGCCCGGGTCGGCTCCATCCCCCGGCTATCTTCGCACCGGCGCCGTCGCCTGGTATTTCCAAGAAGGGCAATTCGGATGTCACGCACCGCCTTCTCAGCCGCTTGGTGATAGCCCTCATTTCTTGCGCCGTAGCCATGTAGATGCAGCCGTCGAGTGAGTAGAAATACAGCATAATAAGTCCATTCCTAGGTCTCGGTCATTTAAAAACGCAATCGAAATCGAAGAACAGACCCAAGTACAGGGTAGGCCAGTCGGAGAGGGAAGTCAGCCCGCCCTACCGACCGGATTCATCCCAAGTTTCTCCTCATGCTTAGAGGCAGGTCACGTTCAGAAGGATGGATTCCTTACTGGTCGCCGGGTTGCTCGGAGCGGTTTGCGCAAACGAACGCAAGGTACAGCGTTGCATTCACCAGATATGTCGCCCCATCAGGCTAACCCTGGGTCGGTGGCCGCATGTTGTATCCCTTTGAATGTGTTAAGGGCCAACTCTTGTAACGGCCCCCCTTTTTCTGCGATACCTAGCAGGTACCTTTTTGGCAATAAGGTTAGCCACTAAACCTTCCACACCAAAATTATCATACTAAAAATTCAGGCATTTATAATGTAGCCAAATAATGACATCGCAAGCATCTTAATAGCTGATAACGCGTTATTTGTTTGCCTTAAGCACTATTAAATCGAGCAGCCTATTAATAAAGGTATAATGAGGCCTTTTTTCGACCTTGTACGCGATAGTAGCCCTGTTTTTACCCCTTTTCCTGTGCCTAACCGCGAGCCTTAAATTCAATAGCTTCTATTAACGCCTTTATTACTTTTCTAGGAATTTCTACCTCTTTAACTAGTAGAAAAATGGGTTAAATACACTAATAAAGGTCTCTAACGTAGCGCTTAAGGCTCTTATAAGCGGCGGTCGCGCTAGTATAATTGGAAGCTAACTTGCGTTACAGAAATCTATTTGTTTATTATAATCTTACTTTATATAGGACTTTATAAGAAGACACGATTAGAGGATTACTAGAAGACTTTAAAATTATAAGATATTAACTATTACAAACGATACTACACGAGACACGAGACGGGACCGCACTAGCTAGGATAGGTATAACCCGTAGGCACGATAAGAAAAAGAGAGGCACGTAATTAAGCACGTAACCTAAGAGGGATTAAAGACTTAAAGCGTTAAGTTAATAATTTAAAATAAGACTTAATAAAATTAATAGTTAAGTTAATTAATTAAGAAGTTAAAGGGATTAATAATTAAGTTAATTAATCTAGAATTATAATAGAAAAATAAATAGGTACTTAAGAAAAAGGTATTTTATTATAATTAAATAATTTAATTCTTTATTAATTAATTTAAGTAATAGTTTTACTATTAAGAGTTA